GTGTGTGTGTGTGTGTGTGTGTGTGTGTGTGTGTGTGTGTGTGATGACCATGGAGGGTGGGGAGCATTAAATCTACCCAGGCACAACCCAGGTGACAAAGCAGGACACCAGTCCAAGCTTGTGGCGCATTTGCTCCTGGGATCAGGGCCAGGGCCTGGAGTGCTTTGGGGAACAGTTCCGTACCTGAGTTGTCTTCGTCCTTCCTAATCTTCAGTTTCACTAGGTCCTCACACTGCCTCAGAATTTGCACAGCGTCCTCCATGGAGCAGTTGTCCAGTCGGATGTTGTCAATGGCGAGCAGCTTGTCCCCTGGCTCCAGTGTGCCCGTCCTAGAGGGAAGGAAAGGAAGACATGAAGGGAGCAGGCACACGGGGACTGCTCACCCTTCCTCCTGTCTTCAGAGCCCCAGGACACTAACCTGTGTGCCACGCTCCCCTTCTTGATGTCAGAGATAATCAAGGGCTCTCCAGGCTTCCTGCTTGCAGCTGGGGGGAGGTGCAAGGGAGAGAGGAAAATAGGGTGGGTCAGGCTCCTTCTGTCTGCTATAGGAAAATCCAAAGCGGCAGGAAGAGAGGCCATTCAAAAGGGAAGAGTAAGGGAAAGCATCCCTGGCCAAGATGGCTCTGGTGATCTGCTCTCTTCTATAGCTTCCTGACCATTCGTTCTACCAGGGCTGACCTTAATGTTCGCTATCATGGTGTGATTTTTGAGGGCACTAGAAAGGCTTTCCTGTTGCCCACATTTTCTCCCATCTCCTGCCTGGTAACTGAAATTCTAACATTAAAACTTTTTGTTTTAATTTTTACTGTGAACTTAACAATAATCAACAGGAACAGACATTTTAATATATACAAAAAAGCAAGAAAGATGAGTGTTTAAGAAAAGTCTCCAATAGGTCCAGTTGCAGAAAGAAAAGCTGAAAGACCCAAGGGCTATAAATAAAGGTTTTCAGTGACGACTCCAGAAATCACATTTAGTAACAAAACAGATGATAAAAACAGCTTTGACTATCTCATATCACTTTGAAAAGGAGATGGATACACTCATATTGGAATTCCAAAAAGTCCTTTTTATATATGTGTATATAAAACCATCATCACAGTGGATAGAGCACCGGTTTGGAGTCAGGAAGACCTGAGTTCAAATCTGGCCTCAGACACATAACACTTACTTACTGTGTGACCCTGGGCAAGTCACTTAACCCCATTGCCTAGCCTTCCCAAAAAAACCATCATTAATGGATGCATTCTTGCATGGTATTTGACCAAAAGTGGAAGAACATTTCAAGACCTGTATTCAACAGTATACACTTTACCACAGTAAAAACCATAGGAGGAAAGGTAAAGCTATTAGGGAATCTCCCCAAAGACAGGTGTCAAACACCACCATGGCAAAAGCACCTTGGGAGAGCTTTTGACTAACTGCAGAAAGGCCTAACAGCAGAGGGGCTCTTAACCCTTTTTGGTGCCATGGACCCCTTGGGCAGTCTGGTGAAGCCTCTGGACTCCTCAGAACACTGTTTTCAAATGTATACAACAAAATACATAGGATTACAAAGGAAACCAATCATAATATATATATATATACACATATACATATACATATATATGTGTGTGTGTGTATGTGTGAAGTGTGTGTATATATGTATACATATTTTACATATAAATATATGTGATATGTGCACGTGCACGCACACACACACACACAGAGGCAAGTCCACGCATCCAAGGTTAAGAGCCCCTGTGTTAGAAGGCACCTAGTTGGCTTAGAGTCAGAAAGATCTAAGTTTTAAAAAAAATCTTGCTTCAGGCACTTACTAGCTATGTGACCCTGGGCACTTAACCTCTCTGTGGTTCAGTTTTTTAATCTGTAAATGGGGATAAAAAGAGCACATATCTCTACAGAGTTGTTGTGAGGATTATATGAGATAAAATGTGTAAAGCATGTTGCAAGTCTTAAAATGCTCTATAAATGTTATTAGCTATGATTATAATAGGATAGAATAAAACATCACATCATATCTCAGATTATATCATGTCATATCATACACCATACCATACCACACCATTCCACACAATACATTATTATTGTTATTGTTATTATTATTATTATTATTATCACAAGATATCAACACCTTGGTGGTCCATGCAGCAGAAATTGAAGAAAAGAATCTGGAAAACAAAAGCCTATCACAAATTCCTATCACAAATCAGATTCCCCCAATCAGCAACTGAAAGCAAAAGTCAAAAAGGACCATGTGATAGAAGGAGATAAAATAACACAAAGAACAACACAAGCAATTCAACATCCTTCACAAACTTGACTCCAGGGGCTTGAGAGGGAAGATGTGGGAAATTTCTGGTCATCTCTATGGTTGAATGAATGAAAGAATGGAGTGTTTCTCAAGTGTTTATTGTGTGCAGCGCACTATGCTAAGCTTTGGGAACACAAAGAGAGAAGTCAGATAGTTCCTGCTCTCCAGGACTTTCGATTCTAATGGTGGACACAAAACACAGAAAAGGTTTCAGCTGCAAACGATATGGAAAAGTTCAGTAGTCCTTAGGGGGTAGTAGTAAAGCAGCTGTTAATGCCTCTTCTTTACTGTCACTTCTACTGATCAGTTTCTGATGTTGAGCCACTGGGCAGTGCCAAGGACTTTAGTGACAAGAGCTTTCTTTTCTTGGTCTTTAGTAGTTGTGATTGTAGCACCTGCAGGAGAAGTGGCTAGGCTGTATCTCCATAGGGTTTGCTTCCCAGAGTGATGGCTAAAGGCACTGGACTATAAGCATTTCTATTCCCAAGGCTTTTGGGGTCAGGACTTGGGTTGTCTCCATTAGGGTTGAAATAACAATAAAATGAACAACACAACAAGGATGAAATGGCAAACAGGATGTGAGGATACTGTTAATATAATGAGAGAGAACAGTTACACATCAAGAAAAGTAACCAGAACTCCAGCTTCTCTGAAAAAAAAAAGTGGAATAAGACAGGACTGGATAAGAAGGATAATTTTTTGCCCAAATGCTTCACAGTGGTACATTGATTACTAGCAAAGTACTTTACCAGCTTCTTCTCAGTTACACACCAGATCCCGCCTTTCCTAACATGAGGTCTGAACATATCTATTACCAAAAGATGAGAACACTAGTGACCCCTCCAAATAGAAGCCATATGCATGCTTTTATACTTCATACACAGCATCTATACCATGTATCATTAAAGTAATTTATAAGCACTTACAAGAAGACAATATATTCTCTGAGGAGCCAAAAAGACCTTGCCAAAAAGCTCCAGGCAGATAAAGAACAATTTATCAATTTGGTAGTTATTGAATAAGCTGCCCCAAAAGTGACATGACGGTTATGCTGCCTTTGTAGATTATCTCAAAGTCTTTGACTCAGTTCTGCACTCATGGCTTATTCATGCACTGCTAAAATGGAAAACTGTTCTCTTTTGAAAACGCAGTAATGTCAAGAACACTTGGTAAATAAAGCATTTTTCATGGACAGAGTTCAATCCATTGTGATTCTGCTTAGGCTTAAAGCCATTATTATCTCTACAAAACAGAACTAAGTATGGTTTTCAAAACATTGCACAAATCACTTGATGTACATGGATGATGTCAAGCTATATAACTTCACAGAAAAAGACCTTAAAAAGTTCTTTCATCTTATGGAAACTTTCTCCAGTGATAACAAAATGCCATTTGGACTTGGTAAATGTAAACTTTTTAATGTATGAGGACTTAAGGCTTTGACTTAAGGTTTTGAACTTGAATCCAGAGGTTATCCTGAGTCAATGAATGAAGGCAATGCCTAAAAATACCTTGATCTCTTCCAATCAAGGTGCAATGAGCACAAAGATATCAAATAGAAGGCTGTGGCTGAATATATTAAGAGATATTGACATTCTGAAGTAAAAACTAGAACAGGTTTAAGTCAATTAACATATATATAATATTAGTCTTTATATACAATTCCAGAAGTGTACAAAAGACCCTAATGGGTTTATAAAGTATCCTTGCCAAAACCAGTGCAGTATTAATGAAACATGAGACTCCATAAAAAAGCTCCAAACTTTCTCTCCAAAAAGGAGGAAGAGGATTCATAATCATTCTTAGTTTTTTTATAAGATAAGCAAGTAAAATATCTATAAAAATACTTCTGGAACAAATAGTTATCACTTCACTGGACAACATTAAAAGTCAATAAAAGGTCTATAGCATTGGATTTGTTGACTATAAACAAAAAGTGGTTTCCCATTATATGGAGCCTACAAAATTGTCAAGTTCTATGAAGGAATCAAAAGTCCCTCCAAGGGCAATATCTGCACAAACTTGGCCGATAACATGTTGGCAGAGAAACATCAAATGGCTGAAGCATGCAGCTTTGTCTGTGGAAACAGAGGGAATATTTGTGATGGCAAGTCAGAACCTGGTCACTGTCAAATGAAAGTACACAAGAATAATCCTTAAGGAACCTGGACTTAGTGATCAATGTTGCTTATGCTAGGAAATGGAAGAATTTGTGCAACAAAACACTATAGGCTACAAAAATTTAGCAGCTATCAAAAGCCTAGCAAATGGGGCAGCTAGGTGGCATAGTGGATAGAGCACCAGCCCTGGATTCAGGAGGTCCTGAGTTCAAATCCAGTCTTAGATACATAACACTTACTAGCTGTGTGACCTTGGGCAAGTCACTTAACCCTATTGCCTAGCCCCCTCCCCCCCAAAAAAGCCTAGCAAGATATGTCAGAAGCTCATTATCCTTCATAGACTGACATGACAAATCATCACACTACAAATACAGATCTCAAATACGGTAGAGGACTCAATCAATAAAGGGTACTGGAGCTGGACCATCATCACAGATTGAAATGTTGCCTGCATTTGGAGGAGTAACATTGATCCAGAAAAATTTACTTAAGAGCAGTATTTTAAATCAATGACTTCACCCCTAATACTCATGATTTTCAAGATATATGGATTAAAGAGTGTTTACAGTCTAGAGACTGAGCAAAGGAGATCGGAATCATGGGAACAGGATGAAGTACATGGGCAATCCTTCTCTCCTCTAGTAAGATTGTACCAAGAATGCTTTCATAGAGCCTTATCAAAGGATAAATTTATATCCTAATATTTTAATTCAGCTACAAAAGCAGTTACTTTATTTGCCTGTGTGATAGGAGGTTAATGTAAGAAGCAGGACTCAACTCCCACATCACCCCAATCCCCGGACAGATCTCTTTGCAGTGCAGTGGTTAGGTTAAATCAGCAGGCTTCTTCTTTTCTTTTTCTTTTTTTGGCTAGGCAATGGGGTTAAGTGACTTGTCCAGGGTCACACAGCTAGGACGTGTGAAGTGTCTGACACTGGATTTGAACCCAGGTCTTCCAGTATTTGACTCCAGAGCTGGTGCTCTATCCACTTCTCTATCCACCTAGCTGACCCTCAAAAGGCTTCTTTTGGGGAGGCTGTGGCTATCACCA